TAAAGTTGTAAATAAAATGTATCCATTATAATAAGTACCTACAGAAAAATTCTTATTTTTTGTTCAAAAAAATTCATTTTAAAATGCATATTTTAAAAGCATATTTTTAATGCATATTTTGTGTATTTAAGTGCATATTTGGTGAATTTTTAGAGCTATAAGTCCTTTGCTCTAGTTATAATAAACATAGTAATATTGTACCCCTACGTGATAATTGGTGTGCTCAGCTTGTGTGTACTCGGGTTAATAATAATTTAATTTATACCTGTAAGGTTCGCTGGACAATTTTCGTAAACGTTGAACGCTAACGTGTTTGTTAACGGCTGGTGCACAAACAGGCTCCACGGGTTTGTTTCGTCAGTCAATACGAGTACAATAATATTGTAATGCGAATATGTGACGCCCGTTTGTTCAAAAGTGTCCATTAACCTTAGTTTTGGTTTTTTTCACCGTCTTTGATTTGTGAGACCGTCTAGAAACGATTGCTTGATAATAACAATATTACAGATACGTGTCTGCAAAGGAAATCCTGTTAGGTCTCGCGGTCGTAACCAGCTATGTACACACTGAGGATATATATACTCCTTCCTTGATGTAATTAGTATCTTAGGATACTATAACCCGGAGCGAAGTGCTGCAGCTGTGTAATTTATCTACCTGGTAAAGTTTACAGAGGGTTAATAATATCGTTGATTAATTTTACCTCTCGAGTTTAGTAACAACTATTTAGGACACTTTTGACCCGTATCAATGATGCAGTATGATGGTTTTACCTTAAACAATAATGTTTTATGATGTCTTGAGCGCCCTGTAGTAATAGCCTTCTAGAATATCCGTTTACTGTGAGAGGTAAAATATCTAAGAGCGTGTAAAAATCACACCGTGTCACTGTCACAAATTACACTACAATACTGTAGACGAAATCTCTCACGTTTCAAAACTCACTGGAAAAGCCGTCTTAATAGTTCGAGAAAAACGTGTATCGGAAAGACTTTTGTTTTTTTTTTATCATATTGGTCACGTTCACCTGGTGACATCTGATTGTATATGGCCGTAACGATTTCACCTAGGTTAACCGTGAGTTGTACGAAGAACGGACGTCACATGTGGAATAATTACGCCGATTACATAATAAATATAAAAATATGCGGCCGCAAGAAAATTACGTTTTTGTGATGATTTTCATTTCCAGAATTTAATTAATTTTCTTAAGAAATAATAACTTATCGCAGTACTTTGAGCATAATAAGAGAAAAATAAGTAAATAATTAAATCGATCATTATGCTTGACAGAATAATTAAAAAACATAAAACTACACTACTATACTCTTCGAAAATATCATATTATTTCATTTTTGTGGTGGCTTCTCTTCCTTGTCATCAAATGCATACGATAAACAAACCTATCAATCCTCTTGTATTAATAAATTGTAATTTAATATAATATATTATCGCTCTTGATCAATTACTTTTTGAGATTAATTGTATAATCGACGTAGCAATTTTTTTTTTATTTATCGAAACGGGAAAAAATTGTTTAAAAAACAAATTCGTCATTTCTACATGGTTTATTGTAACCTGATTCGATAAATTCCAAGAACCAATGATATTAATATGCTACTTGTAATCCAATATTTCTTCACGTATTGACAAAATATCAGTTGTAACGTTTGTTTTTCGGCAATGAATTAATTCGAGTTCATACTTTTGTTTAATAAGCTTCAAAATAAAAAAAATTAAATAAATGACACATGGAACATCACACGGTGGGATTAATCCAATTTGTGATGAGAAAACCGAATAGCAATTGATGGTTAATAGACTTTTATTACCTATTATAGTATTTTTGAAAAGCATTAAATTTTAGACATACTCCCGCGCTTAATATTTTTTCCTCGACTATTTTAGCGTGTTTACATTTTATATTTATTATAATTTATCTATTTTATATTTAAACCATACGTGTAGTATTTTTTAAAAACCATCAAACCATCGATATTGGTATAATAATTTAAAATACCATGTTATTAAACTAAGCTAACAACCATATTAACAGTTAAAGTAAAAGTAAATATAAATGTAGGCTGATGACCTTGCTGTTGAAGTCTTTATATCTAATAAAAAACAAAAAAAAAATATGTGGAGATAATGTCTAATTATTGAAACTAATAAACTGCTATTAACAATTTCTTGGAAAGAAATCATTTTCTATTTACAATATTGTAAAGAACAATTTACAAAACAAACAACACATATCATATCGCTGATAATCATAAATCAAGGCAAAAATTACACGTTAAAAATACACATCAACAGTATTTCGTAAAATTTTCAACATATAAGTTTAACTATTAGAAATGACTTTGTTCTGCAAATTAGCAACGGTCAGGAGTGCATCGATTCCGGGACGATATTTAGACATCATAGTTTTCGAGTTCCTGAATAGAAGACTTACGATAAAATCCCGTAGCCCGCGGTGAACACTCAAGTTTTCGAAACTCGTTTTGTATTTTCACATCGGATCGTAACATTGCAACGATGCAGAATAATAGTATTATGCCGAATAATATATAATCGCAGCTTCAGGGACGTATACATGGAGGGGGATGTGGGGTCAGATCCCCCCCCAGAGGCCTTTTTAAAATTTTATAAAATATTGTTCTTAATGTAAGAAAATTATAAGGAAACAAAAAAAAATTGCAATGATTTATTATAAACAGTGCCGGATTAACAAATTTGCCGCATGGGGACACAAATTTTAAAATTCCGCCCTTCAACGCCCTCCAAAAAACAAAATATGTATATTACATGTATATATATATATATATATATATATATATATGTATACAACAAATAACAACATAGTTATGATTGTTTAATTAATTTATATTTATAAACATATTATAACACCGGTAGTTAAATTTATAGACCTTAGTAGGTTCTAAATATAAACATTTTAATACAAATTTATTCAATATAAAATATTTACAACTATTTTTTAGCTTTCTGTACAGCAAACTATTTAATAATATCATTCCAACCTACACATTTTAGGAAAATATTCACAATAGATAATAGAGACAACTATGACATATTTTCATTGTTTTCTGGTAGCTCTTGACTCTTTTTAAAACTGAGAAGGATCTTTCTCCGCTAGCATTTGAACATGATATAAATATAAAAAGTTTCAAAGCTATATCCACAATAAGAAATGAATCGTTTAACTGTTAATACTTTAAGAAAACTGTGTATAGATAATTTTTCATCTTCTGAAAAATACTTCATTATTGTTTTAAATTGTATAAGCTCATTCTCAAGTTCCGGTTATAAACACTATAAATATTTACTAATTGCTTTGATTTTTCTCGTAAAATATCATCGTCAATTGCTTCCGCATTTAAAAAAAAACCCCAAACAACTCATTTATTTAAATATATGCAGTTTATGCACTTTCCACTCATATTGATTGAAAATAAAATATTAGGCACGTTTGTTTTCCAGTCAATCGTGATTTGTGAATCGAACTCGACAACGACGACAACTATGACCACGAGACTCGAGAAAGATAGACATAACAATTGCTTGGTAGTGTGCAAATAAATTATTTGAAGCTATTAATATCAAATTTAATAATCTGATGGTTATAAATTATAATACACACATAAAGATATATGAGAAATACAATAAACACAATTTTATTTCAGTGGAACGAAAATGAAAATGCATAGGTCCGAGCGCTAAATAATAGTAATAATTTGGTTTTACCCTTAATATGCTAAACACCCACAGATGAAATAATTCAGCGGCTTAATATAATATAAATAACTATTATACATAATTATAATATATATATATATATATATATATTATATTATAATATTATATAATTGATATTAATATTTTTTAATAATAAATTAATAATTTTTCCTAAAAACTAGTATATACATTAGAAAAAATCAAAACTTTTGTTGACGCCGTTAAAAAATGTCCACCCCTTAAATATTGCCGCCTGGGGCAGCTGCCCCCTTCCCCCCCCCCCCCCTTAACCCGAAACTGATTGTAAATTATTATTTTGACACATTCAATATATATATACCTTTTATTATTTATTATTTAAATGTGCAGGTACTGAGGTTTAGGAATTTTCCTTCCATAATGATTTGTTTGCAGCTGATCCCCCCCCCCCCCATACAAAAGTTATGTATACGCCACTGCACAGCTTGAATATTTGCGTTTTTTTATATTATTATTGCTGGTATTTACTCATTTTTCTTAAACGATTTTCTCTCGTCATGTCGATTTAATTTCGTTGAAAATGTCTCGGGACCTACTTCGTTTAATTTTCGTAAAGCACCTACAATGTAATGCGACCATTGTCACAACAACACTATTTTGGACTCGTTTGTAAAAATAATGAATGACCCCTCCTCCCTCATATGGACATAGCAGGGAAATCGTACCTCTGATCATTTATAACCAAATTACGTTTAATTTCAGTTACACAGGCCGCAAAAGATACGTTGACGTACGGTAATGGGTATAAAACCAAATCGATCAATTATTGTCGAATCTACATTATTAATTATTATTGACAAATTAGATTATATTAAATTGCTATAACGAAATGGTTTTATTTTATTTCTTTCTACATTTTTTTCAATTTTTATCATTGGGCCCTTTTTTAGGTTGGATTTGACACACGCAACACCGGTTTATGCGGCACTGACAATAATAATATTGTACTATTGCAATATTGTGATTATAATCATTTGCGCCAGAGTATATACAAATAAAATGGTTAAAATACCTCGTGCCTTCTTTGTTTGATTACCGCGGTTCACGAATTCGTACAATAATTTTACCGCGATAAACTTTCGACTTGGAGAGATAAATTAATTTTTATAAATGTACATTACTGCGCAACAATAAAAAAGCACCTTATAATATTATTATGTTAAACAAACGTACACACAAATATGCATAATCGTTTCTATCTTTAGGTTCAGTAAGTCGGTGAAAAGGAGTGACCATTCGGGAACTGACGATAAGAACGAGGGTAAATGGTGAGTCATTATAGCACGGGTGTTGGTACCGTAAGGGTTGGTTAAAATAAAAACATCAACCACAGCAACGTTAGTTGCATTAACCAATACTTGTAAGCGGTTTCCTATGGAATTCATTCTTTAAGTGTTTTGCCTTGTGTCTATTTTATATATTTATATATAAACATACTTTTGTACTGCCTCACTAATAAAATCACTATCACTATGTTTATTTCTTACATAATATACTAACATCAATAGCACACTATAGTAAACATGATAATCATATGCAATATAATTATGCACGCAAGTACATTATAATATTATAAAATATTATAATATTGTAATAGGACGACAGTCTATTTCTATTTCTGTGTGTTGATTGATATTTTTGAAGGTTTAAGTATCGGTTTGAGGAAATAGAAAAACACTCATTTTTTTTGCACGCACACTTGCACATCTAGTTTGTAGTTCGTTGCAATCGACATATTCTCGCGAAAATTATTTATCGATTTTATCATTTAGAATCGTTATTAAATACTTTTCCGTACAAGTAACCGAGATATTCACACATACATGTCCACCGATCTAGTTAACAGATGTATATAGAATAATCCATAATATCAAAAGTTGCGAGTACTGTTTGCAAGTAAATCTGAATTACGGAAAATCATTATAGGTTTTCCTATGGTGTGATTATCGTCTCGTACAATATACTATTTGTGTACGAGTCCTGACTTGGGTAAAATCTCCAACTAACATCCCGTTCGCCTACAACAGATTTTTGATGATCAACAGGAAATTTTGAATTTCGAATATCCGTTAAATTCCGAAGATCATCCATTTTCAATTCGAATCCACGTAATGAAATATTACGTACTTGCGTGCCTGTGCATTTCATATTATTACATTGTTACTATTATTACTACGTTTATTCGATTACTTGATCACGCATATTGGTTTTTTAGTGTTATAAGAATCGCATGAGGTTATGGACTAATAATAAAAATAAAAATAAATCATTCGAACACAACGACGTAAATCTACGCACGTGTAAGTGTGCAAGTATATCGAGAACGTCTAAAAATAAACGTAACCACGTACCTGTTATAATATATATTGATTGATAAAAATTAATATTTTATACGTCAGCGCGTTTCTCATCGTTTCCCCGGTGTTATCTCCTCTCTGACTTCTGTTCCGCGTGGTCTATGTCACCTGCGCGTGCGTTGTGTTTGCATTTTGAGCATCGTATTCTATTGTCACTTCGCAATATTTTGCTATGCATGTGTTAAAACGATTGTAGAACTTGTGATGGTCTTGCGTGTGCACGGGTTTGAACGCAGCCGGCTGTGGGCTGTACACACAGTGCTGTCTACCGTATACCAGTAGTGTGTTTGAGGGGGGGGGGGGCGTTGGGAGCAATCGCCCCCCACATTGCCCTAGTTATTTGTATGTATAATAAATTTATAGAACATTAGCATATTCATAAAAAAAAATATTGTACTTAACTAGTGTATAATGCTCGTAAATTAAGTACCCTCCCCACAATAATATTAAGTCAAATACGCTACTGTTGTATATACGCTTTATACGATTAGGTATATCGGACACGAGCATAAAACGGTGGCGCGCTGGACCCATTAGAACAATTTTTCGGATGCTCCGCGCGCGACCTGTAGCAATAGCAGTCGCCGCTCTCGACCCGCTATCGTAGGGCGCACGTGCGACCGACGGAGTGCTCTGAGCAATTCATCATCGACGGCTCAAAGTCACCTATTATGCAAAAGTAAACAATAGCGTAGTAAGGGTATGACGAACTGTACCTACGCCAAGGGCGCAAAATTGTGCAAAAGTCATATTTTTATTCTATAATCAAATCGACATTTTTTCATTATACATTGTGAAATACGTAGATAAAGTCTATTATTTGAACACACTACGTGTGAATTTAACGATGAAATTATGAAAATATCACAAGGGCATTTGAATAAAATATTCCTTAATATGAAGAATTATTCATATTATGAAGAAATTATCGATGAATTTACCAGTCATAAAGCGAGAAAAAGTAAATTTTCAAAGTTTAAAATTAACACTTTAATTATAACTTATAAGTATAAATTGTATACTAGAAAAAATTATTAAAATTATAGGTTAAAAAAAATATCATAACATCAAATTTTAATTAGCTAAAAATCATTTTTTCTATGTTTGCCAGGAGCACTAGCGTGCTTCTTACACCACTGCTGGTAAAACAATGTGATTTAGTACTACCAAACGTTTGACCGGCCCAATGTACGCCGAAAACTCGTCGTTAACTACTCCTGCGCACCCGATGTTGGCGAAATTATATCGTTTTCGATCACTGGACGTACGCGATTAGAGCAAACTTTTTGCAATCCAGGATATTACACTTAAAACTACAGTACGACGGTGGAAGAAGCTTGACATTCGATTTGTATGATCCGAATTTTTTCGTCAGAAATATGACGATTCCAAGTGAATTTTCAGTTACAAAACCTACTGACACCCCGAAACCTCAAAGATTGGTTTGTTTTTTTTTCTCAGGATGAAAATAACAAAAACCTTGAAAATATTACGACACATATTCTTTGTTAGTTTTCGCTCTTGTGGTCGTTTCACATATGTTCCTGCTACGGCCTCGTCCCTTAACCTTGTGTTTCTATAATTCGCTCTACTCGGCTCACTGCTGGATTGCGTATCAATTGGTTAAGTTACGTTGGCCTCGGTTAGCTTACACCATGCATACCGCTATTATTGTAAATATGATGAGTACTAATACATGTTTGAAGTCATAAATAGTTTGGTTGAAAATTTTTGAATTGTTTTTTTCCCTCTTGCGATGTAATTAGCGTTTATGCACAACAAAAAAATAATATTTTGAAACATACACCGTTCGTGATTATTGGGTTTTCTAACTGTATATTTAGTAATCCCTTGTTATATCCTTGTTGTATCCGCTGTGATTACATTCCATCGGAATTGCGCGAATAGCGAAACCATAAAGGCAATGTAAAAAAGGAGGTTTTGTTTTATTTTTTATTTTTTGTTTTGAAAATCACAATAATGTTAATATGTATTTTCTACAATTATATATTTATCTAATAAACAGGAGCAATTTCCATAACTCTTATTTCTTAAGTTTTTCGTTTTTCTTGAACATAAGATTTGTTCATTTTGTACTTCCCGTCAAGTGACGCTATTGTGTCGCCAATTTTTAATGTATCCAAAATTTCACTAACATCAACTGACAATTAAACGAATATTAACTGTATACCTGTAGGTAGCTTATGTGACTTATCTGTAATAAATACATGTGCATACACAGTTGCATAGTTATATTTAGCGATATATAACAATAATAATCTACAAAAAAATAAATCTATTTAAATTATCTACCATACTCGTAGAACATCGATACAATATCGAATTAATAACATTTTATCGTGGATTCAACTGAGGATAATCGAAAGCCGTGGGTAAAAATTTGCGGATAACGAGGGATTACTATATAGATATATATACATATACCTGTATATATATATACGAGTATATGTGCATTTTGCTAGAAACTCTAAACGTTGATCTCGATTGTAAAAGATATCTGGAAAGCAATTATTTCGTATAACAACTGCGTAATATTATATCTCTGCGCTCTTCCTCTCATTCACTGGCCAGCAAGAAGTTGGGTTATGCGCGTTGGATTAATCGATTTTAAGTTTTCAACCGCTCTTCTCGTTGGGACGTAAGTAATTATACTTCCTTTCTTTGAAACCAGGGCCCTATTTACGCAAGGACATTATGGGTATTTGTCCAGGGCCCAAGCGGATCAGGAGCCCATCTACTGGATTTAATTACTCTTTTAATACAAATTAATCCTTAAAATTCTAGTTTAATTATTTTATCTACAAATGATAATTATAATAATTACTCAATCTGACCAAATTAAATTTATAAAAAATACACAAATATCTCATACGTTTCAAAACTAATTGTACTGGTGAAAAATCCTTTTCAGTTCCCAAAAAAATTAAAAATAAATTAATGTCATCTCTTGGCCAAGCAATGTTGGATGCCCTTGGAATCTTATTTATTGAAAATGACATCAAAGCATTAATTTCGATGAAGTAATTGATGCATTTGCAAAAAAAAAAAGGCTAAATAATTTTTTTTTAAATTCTGAAGATTTTGTATTATCTACATTCGATTACTTACTGTTTAATTTACTTTTAAGAATTTTTTTTTTTTTAATTATAAAAATTTTGTAAAAAAAAGTACCTATATTCTAATATAGTTTTATTTACTATTAGTATTGAATGGTTATTATATTTATTAATTATAATTTGAATTAGAATTCATAAATATAGGTCAGATTTTTCTTTTTGTCCCGGACCTAAACAATTCTAAATCAGGATCTGAGTGGGACGCATAAGTGGATCTGACAAAACGATCGCAAAAAAAAATCCGTGACCTTTTTTGTTCATCAATATCGACCACATCAGATCACATTCGCTACATCGTGGTTAGTCGGACACAGATTTATTTATTTTTTATCAAGTACTTCATTATGGTGGTTATAGACTCGGCAACATAAATTATACTTCAGATTTTCTCATTAAATTTTCGAGAAAATCATAAGAAAATCGAAGAAGATTACGTACGTCGAACGATGTATATTTCCATTTCCTGGAACTCATTGATCTTTCGAGAAGAACATTTTAATCGCCGGTACACTTGATTTATTACAATAACATAACATAATACAATATTTTTAATCAGATAAAATAGTATATTTCAACAGTTATGTGCAGTTATTATTATAACCATATTCAGATAATCCCAATTTTTGCAATAAATGCAATTATTTCAATTGCTGCATTTCGCTAAATCGATTGCGTGTAGACCGAGAAATCAATCGTCTCGGAGTTTATGTTTCGAGCTACTGATAACTCGACCACTTGTACATTGCCATTCAAAATACGGTGAAATCATAGGCG